GAATGCTCTCTATCACTAAACGAACAGATTCCCATACCCCATCAGCAACAACAAACATCAGGCACTCCAATTTATTAACATGCACACAACATCACTCAAGCGATCATCAGTCCAAGCACTCGTTTCCAATACAAGAGTGTAGGCTTCAACCAACAAATGCAAACTCGGCCCAACACAATAGGCCCGCGTGGGCCTCATGTCAAAACCAACCATCATTTTTGACGAACTTGATCCGAATTTGTGGTTCCCAGGTCTGGGCTTCGTCAAACAAGTGATTGGTTCGTGGATGTCGAGTAGCAGCGGTGGTGGATGTAGAAGACAATGATTGCATGTAGTTTGAGAAAACGGTGGCGCGATGGTTCAAGCAAGCAAGGTTTGAGATGGGATGATTCGATCTGGCAAACAAGGCAGCAGCAGTTCGAAACCATGGGATCATACAGCAGTAAACAATGGATTAGGGCTCCGATAGCTTGGTGCAACAACGAGTTTGATTTTTGTGTTCTTTTTTTTTTTTTCAACGGTAAAACCCTAATCTAGGTACAAAGACAAAACAAACTACAACCGAACTGATATCTGGCGACTAAAAAACAAATTGATACCACCAAGAATAGATCAACCCCAAATGATCAAATCTGCTCTGACACCAAATTGAATACCAGAATACGTAACAAACAAACAAACTAACTGAATATAAAACTTTATTAAATGGAATTGCCAAGAAGGCTACATGAATCGAAGATACTACATCTTGATTGACTTATTGAAATTAACTAATACAAGCACTACTATATATAGTGAAAACTAAAGCAGAACCCTAATCCTTAATGGGCAAGAAACTCTAATATAATTGGCCCACAAGAAAACCATAACCAATAATAAAATAATAACTAAGTTTCCAACATATGTTTGGTTAACACTAAATTGATTGGAGATATAAATAATAATAAAATACATGGATAATTGATTAGGAGATAAAAATAAAAATACCAGTGATATGTGGTGCATTTTTTTGCCAGACAGGGACATGATTCAATCTCTAGGTCATGTAATTTGGGGCAGATACATCAGATTCTTACATTCATGAATTTTCAACTGTGTAAGAGATGTAAGGTTGCCTAAGCACTCTAGATGAGCCTCCACACCATCGAAACCATAAATGGACAAACATGTTAGATAAGTAGAGTGTTGAATTTGCTGAGGCAGAGACTTAAGCTTAGGCCACCCGTACAATTCAAGTCCTTCAAGTATGGATGGGACCTGAAAATTCGGGAAAAATCGAGCTCCTCGCAGTTCGCACCGATTAACATCTATTCAAAATGAGATAGAAACTGCAGCCCCTTGGGAAAATATTATAATTTTCCACAATGAAATAAATATAAAGAGGAAAGAGAATGCAAGTCGGACAAATTTTGATTTACCAGAGATATTGAATGTTAATAAGAGATGTGCAGTACATGTTGAAAGTTGATGACCAAAATGACAACTGATTCCTCTTCTTTTTGCTGCAGCTGAAGAAATAGAATGCTTACATGGAACCTGCAATTGTGGAATATGAACATCTGGAAATCACTCTCGGTAAACTATGGTATCATGAAAGCATAACACAAGTTTCTTCATTTGAGCCTGGAGTTCTTTCTCAATGCCTAGACATCTCCATTTCCATTCATCGTGTTAGTTGGCATAGCACAAAACCCATGGTGGAAGTTGTGCATGCCATTGCTGTCTCAAATGCTTTCCAGACCGAATCTCCGTGAATCCTTCGATCCAAAATAGTCTTTAATGATAAAGTTTGTTTATTTTGGTGTTTTGATTGGTTTGTTTGGATTAGTTTCTTTGGTTGAACTTGACAGAGAATGGAGAGGACCTTTTGGAGTGTGTTTTACGGCTTCAAAGGTTGTACAAAATGTAGCAGCACTGATTTCATTAAGTGGAGGAAATCTTGTAGGGTATGGTGCATTGCCATAACCCATACTTGTTTAAGAGAGTGATTGACAAGAGGCTTACCCCAGATTGAATCCTAGCCCTTCATTTAGGTTTTAAGTGATCTAATCTGGAGTGTACACTTGTCACTCACACACTCACACATACATATAAATTGAAAAACTAGCCGTTGGAACTAAAACCCTTCATTTCTTCTTTCTTATTCGATGCACATAGTAGCCATGCTCGGGAGCTCCTTGCTACCTTCAATCCTTCGACTCCAGGAGCTGTTTAGCTTCCAACACTCCTTTCTAAATTGCTTCGGGGAGTCATTCCGAGCAATCCCCTCAGCTAATTGAATCTCTCCTTTGGTAATGCTTTTGTGAAAATGTCTGCGATCTGATCTTTTGTGCTGCAATAGATTAGCTTGATTGTGTTGTCCTGCAATGCCTCTCTAATGAACTGATATCTTCTTTTAATGTGCTTTCTTCTCTAATGAAATACTGGGTTTTTGGTCATAGCGATTCTAGAGGTGTTGTCACACAGAAATGGTGTGGCATCAACCTGCAACTCCTCAAAGTCTTTAATTATGAACCTTAGTCAAATAGCTTGAGTTGTAGCTTCTGATGCACTCACATACTCTGCCTCGGTTATGGACAGTGCAACACTTTGTTGCTTCACAGAGGTCCACGAGAAAACCCCTAAACCAAAAGTGAAAGGATAGCCTGATGTGCTTCTGCTGTCATCTTCACTACCATCCTAGTCACTATAACAAAATCCAATTAGGATAGTTGACTTCCCCATTTCATACTTGATGCCATAATCAAGTGTTCCTTGCACATATCTTAGAACTCTATTTGCTGTCCCCATGTGTATCTTGCTAGGATTCTGCATAAACCTAGAAAGTAGGCTTGCTGAGAACATTAGATCCGACCTTGTTGCAGTTAGGTACAATAGACTGCCAACAATACTTTTGTAGAAACTAGCATCCGTAGGTTCACTTCCATCATCCTTCTTAAGCTTCTCATTTGCAATTAGGGGTGTAAAGGCCCGTTTGCATTCCTTCAATCCAAACTTTTCAAGCAAAGTTTCAGCATACTTCCCTTGATGAATAAAGATGCTACTTGCTTCTTGAATTACCCCAATGCCAATAAAATGATGCAAGAGGCCTAGGTCAGTCATTTCATACCTCTTTATCTTCTCTTCTTTGAACTTTTCAATCATTGCAGCATCATTTCTAGTGTAAACAACATCATCCACATAGATTGATACAATGAGTGTCTTGTTGTTACTTTCTGTCTTGGTGTAGAGTGTAGCTTCACTAGGACTTTGCTGAAATCCTTTCTCAGTGAAATAGGAATCAATCTCACTATACCAAGCTCTTGGAGCTTGTTTTAGGCCATAGAGAGCCTTCCTTAGTTTGTACACCTTCTCTAGAAACTCTTGACTTGTGAACCTTTGAGGTTGTTCCACAAACACCTCCTCCTCTAGCATTCCATTTAGAAATGCAGATTTGACATCCAATTGATGCAACTTCCAACCTTTCTTGGTTGCTAGGGCTATTAAAGTCCTTATGGTGTCTAACCTTGCTACTGGAGCAAAGGTTTCATTGAAGGCTACACCAGGCTTCTGTGAGTAGCCTTTAGCTACCAATCTGGCCTTGTTCTTCTATGCAGAACCATCTAGGTTGAGCTTTACTTTGTACATTCATTTCACACCAATCACTGGCTTGTCACTTGGGCAATTTACAAGTTCCCAAGTGTTATTCTTCTCAATCATTTCAAGTTCCTCCTTCATTGTTTTCTTCCAAGCTTTGTCTCCGTTAGCTTCTTCATATGTTTCTGGTTCCACTACACAGTAGTTACATGTAGCATATATCTCATCTAAACTTCTCAACCTCACTGGAGTTGAACTGGGAGTTGTTATCTATGATTGACTCAATTGTGGACTCATGCTTGCTTGTTGTGGAGTCTCTTGTATATCACCATTCTTTGTGACTTCTTCTTGAACTGAGGTCTCTATAGGCTCCCTTGTTTGCTTTTTGTTGAGGTGAAGTTGTAGAGAGACATTGTCTTTCTCTTCTACCCTTGTTTCCCAGTTCCATGTTGAGTCTTCATCAAAGATAACATCCCTTGATAGGATTATCTTTTGAGTTGACAAATTGTAAACTTTGTACCCTTTCTCACTGGTTCCATAACCCACAAAAACACCCTTGTTACTTGATTTCTCCAACTTCTTCCTTAGTTGTTGAGGAATGTGGGTGTTGCACACTGAGCCAAACATTCTCAGATGCTTCACAGAAGGCTTCCTTCCATTAAACACTTCAAATGGTGTCTTCTTACCAGTGCTTTAGTAAGGCACCTATTCAATAGGTACATTGAGGTGTTCACAGCTTCACCCCAAAATGTATAAGGCATGTTTTTCTCATGCAGCATAGACCTTTCAACTATAGTTTTATTCTTCCTTTCTGCAATCCCATTCTGTTGTGGTGAATACGCCACAGTGAGGTTCTTCTCCAACCCCACATCTTCATAGAATGCATTGAACTCATGTGAGGTGTACTCACCTCCTCTATCACTTCTCAGTCTTTTGATTTGATATCCACTTTGTAGTTTCACCATTGCTTTGAACTTCTTGAATATTGTGAATACCTCAAACTTGAACCTCATGAAATACACCTAACACATCTGTGAGTATTCATCAATGAAGGTTAGGAAATACCTATTTCCATTGATTGTTGTTGTTTGCATTGGTCCACACACATCCGTGTGAATCAATTCGAGTAGCTTTGTTGCCCTCTAAGCCCTTCCAGCTTCAAATGGATCTCTGTGATGCTTGCCAAACACATACCCTTCACAGGGTTCATTGCATTGATCCATCTTTGGTATATGTTGTACCATTTCATTGTTTTGCAGATTTTGTAAGCTTGTCATGTTTAAATGACCAAGCCTCTTGTGTCATAGCTTCATAGAACCTATCACACTTGCTTTCCTTCTACTTCCTCTAGGTACTTCAGCATAAGTGGGAAGCTTCTATTTTTCACTTCCACTCTAGTCACTAGGTTTGATAGGGACCTATCATCATAGATCTCGACCACAGTTCCCCCAAAGAGTAGGAAAATAGCCATGCTCCATCATCTGACCCATACTAAGTAGATTCTCATCCAATTCAGGCACTAGCATCACCTCCCTTATGCATCTTCTTCCTTTCTTGGTGTTAATGACCAGAGTTCCTCTTCCAGTGGCTTTGACAATGTTTCCATCTCCCATTTTCACCTTTCTAGTGAAGTTTGTGTCAATATCAATAAGTAATGACTCATGTGCAGTCATGTGATTGCTGCAACCACTATCAATGTACCACACTTCATAGTTTTTCTCCACTTTTGCACTGAAAGCACAGAACACAATTGCTTATTGTTCCACTTGATTTGCACAGTTCACTTGTTGTACATTCTTTTATCTACAATCTTTCATGATGTACCCAAACCTGTTGCATTTGTGGCACCTAGGCTTGTCCTTGAACCAACACTCTCCAAGATGGAATTTGTCACAGTGTTTGCATTGCTGCTTGTTTCTTGGACCTTCATTTGAGTAGTTGCCTTGGTTAGGTCTAGGGTTTTGATACCCCTTTCCTTCCCATTTCTTGTTCTTGCCCTTCCACTGTTGTTTTTGTTTGCTTGCACTAGCTTGACTACTAGATCCAACATTGAGTGATTGAAAAGCTTTCTCAAGTGCAAAATCAGCATGCCTCTCAAGCCTTTGGTCAAAAGCTCTTAAAGATGCCATCACATCTTGCACACTAAGAGTTTCAGTGTCTTTGGTTTCTTTAATGACACTCACTATTGAATCATAGGGTTTAGTCAAACTAATCAATAGTTTCTGGACAATTCTTTCATTAGGCAGTTCCTCACCATATGTTTTCATCTTGTTTACAACATCAAATAGCCTAGTAAAGTAGTTTTTTAACAGCTTATTCTCCTTCATTCTTGTATACTCGAAATCTCTTTTAAGGGATTGAAGTTTTACCTTTCTAACTCTGCTGTCTCTTTTGTACTCTTGTTGTAAAACTTCCCAAGCTCCTTTGCACTCTCTTCATTTGCTATCCTCAGGAAAATGGTGTCTGAGACAGCACCTTGGATGATTCCAAGTGCTCTAGCATCCTCCATCCGATGCTGCTTCAATGTTTTGAGTTGTGTTTCTGTGAGGTCCTTCTCTAGAGCATCGACCTCCATCTCAGGTAGTTCATACCCATATTGAACCATATCCCATAGATCATAGGACTTGAAAATGGTTGTCATTCTTATTCTCCAAAAGTCGTAGTTCTCCCCATCAAAGACTAGAGCTTTTAGCTCACTACTACTGTTGGATCCCTTCATTTGCAGGGTTGTTTGTTGGTTGTGGTTGTTAAGGATAGTACGTAGGCGCTCCCAAAGATCTCAACTTGCACAGATTACGCCCAGAAAGTTGTAAGATCATAAACTAAGCTCTGAGGCCATGATAAAGTTTGTTTGTTTCGGTGTTTTGATTGGTTTGTTTGGATTAGTTTCTTTGGTTGAACTTGACAGAGAATGGAGATGACCTTTTGGAGTGTGTTTTATAGCTTCAATGGCTATACAAAATGCAAAAGCACTGATTTCATTAAGTAGAGGAAATCTTGTAGGGTATGGTGCATTGCCATGACCCATACTTGTTTAAGAGAGTGATTGACAAGAGGCTTAACAACCATTTCAGCCTTACTACCCCATATTGAATCCTAGCCCTTCATTTGGGTTTTAAGTGATCTAATCTAGAGTGTACACCTGTTACTCACACATTCACACATACATTTAAACTAAAAAACTAGCCGTTGGAACTAAAATCCTTCATTTCTTCTTTCTTCTTCAATGCAAACAGTAACCATGCTTGGGAGCTCCTTGCTGCCTTCAATCCCTCGACTCCAGGAGCTGTTTAGCTCCAACATTTAAATCCCGATTCTGGAACTCAGGATTCACCCACTCCACTATGTGGACTAGATCGTCACTTTCTATGACTGCAAGTTGGCCAGTAAAACTCTGAACATCAATTTTTTTCATTTAACCTTTGATAATTATAGTACCTGCAAACCAAAAAAACAAAGTAATCATAAATCACTCACTGCTCGTTGATTTATTTTTTTAACAAGATCAAAATTCTAAGAACATGGAATCTGAACGTACTCGGGATCAAGATACCCCGCTATGCCCATAAACGATGCAACCACGAGTCTCATTGTCACTAGGAAAAACCATGAACAGCGCGAAATCTGCCAGCTTTGCATTCAAGTTTTCGCTTAAGAGAATATTGGCAGCCTTTACATCTCTATGCACAATACGTGGGTTGCATCCTTTATATATGCAAGTAACGTCGCCGGTGAGCCAAAATAGTTGTGCATGCCATTGCTGTCTTTAAGGCTTTTCAGACCGAATTCACATCGAAATCTCCTAAAATCCTTTGATACAAAATAGTTGTTAACTCCCCTTGCTGGAACTCAGGATTCACCCACTCCACTATGTGGACAAGATCATCACTTTCTATGATTGCAGGTTGGCCAGTAAACTATAAACATGATTTTTCTTTTTTCATTCAACCCTTGATAATTATAGTACCTGCAGACCAAAAAAAAAAAGTAATCATAAACCACTCACTGTTCATACAATTGTACTCAGGCCATGATAAAAAAAATAAAAAAAATAAAAAAAATCTAATAGAGCAAGGAAACTTGAACATACTCTGGATCAAGAGAACCCGATGTGCCCATGACCGATGTCACCACACGAGTCCCATTATCATTGGAGAAAAACCATGGACAGACCAAAATCTGCTATTTTCGCATCCGAGTTTCCGTTGCAGTGTGCTTACTCTCCTCTCTTAATGCAATTCTCTTCTTAAGTGAGCTGAAATACAAGTCCAATTTATCTGTGATTAACGTATTCTAGATAACTCGACATGGTTTTATTCAAGGATGAAAGATTGAAGAAGGAAGTGACATATTGACTAAACAGATACCTTCCACAAAATTGGTCTAACAGAGAGATCGTTGACCTAAAACTGCAGAAAACGAGAGTGAGTGAACAATATTGAACAAAAGATACATGGATAATTGATTGGAGATAAAAATAAGGGCTCCAAAAATAAAAAATTACCTGTGATATGTGGAATGTGAGAAATCCTTCGCCATTCTAGGCTGGAGATACGCTCGCATCTTATTGCCAGAGGGGAACACGATTCGATCTTTAGGTCATGTAATTTGGTTAGGCGTTGCATAGCTTTGACCATAGGCAGATACCTCAGATTCTTACATTCACAAATTTTCAACACAGTAAGAGATGTAAGGTTACCCAAACACTCCGGAAGAGCCTCCACACCAGCGAAGTGACAAATGGACAAACATGTTAGAGAAGTGGAGTGTTGAATTTGATGAGGTAGAGACTTGAGCTTACGCCACGCGTACAATTCTAATTCTTCAAGTTTCGATGGAACCTGAAAATACGGGAAAGAATTGAGCTCCTCGCAGAAGGCACCGATCGACAACTGTTCCAAACGAGATAGAGACTGCAGCCCCGTGGGAAAATATTGTAAATTCCTACAATGAGACAAACATAAAGAGGAAAGAGATGTGCAGGATGCAAGCCCACATGGTATCCATGTTAATCGATGACATCCGGCAACATACAATTGAAGGAGGGATGTGAGGTGGTCTCAACTGGGAATAGCCTTTAGATTAGGGCAATACCGTATATCCATATCCTCAAGAGAGACGGGTTTGTAGCCCATGACCCGACAAAGTCCTCAAATTTTGACAGTGCGCGATATGCAGTTTGCGAAGACTAGTACAAGAAAAAAGCCCACTCAGTGTACTTGTGAATCCATTGCATTCTTCAATTCTTAGTTCATGGAGGGATGTGCAACCGTTTAAAGACAAGTCATCCTTCTCCTCCTCCTCCTCTTAGAGAGTAGTGCTAGTCCTCTTCCTCTTCCTTAATTCAAGAGACGTACATCTTCTAATAAAAAAATAGCGGAGTGAAGGCAGACTATGAATTGAAGTGCATCTTAGCTTTGGGCAATCAACTATGGTCAACTCCTGAAGAGATTAGGATGCTGAAATTTGGAAGGATTCTAGATTGGGGCAACCACTAACTCTGAACGTCTTCAGATTGGGGAATGTGACGTTGTCTAAACTGGGAAGAACCTCTAGATTACAGCATTCCTGGATACTCAGATATTTGAGAGTGAGAGTGGTTTCGATTGGCATGGCGTTATCAACATTCCATATATCCAACTCCCTGAGAGATGGAAAATGAGTGGGAGCACTTCTCAATTGAGCATAATTCTGAACATCCAACATGTCAAGGCGAGGAAACACTATTAAGGCTACTTTCTCACCTGTTGACATGTCTTTCACTTCCTTCTATTCACCTAAAGATGGGCAATAAATAAATGATAAGCTTTTCAATGCTGGAAACAAAGTCACCTTCGTTGCCACCTCATCATTATTAACGTACTTATAACCATAAAACTCATCCACAACACATTCTAGTTTCTCCATACCCTCAAATAAAACACTTCTAAGATTCAGCAAGTGTCCAAGTGGCAGGACTGCTTCACATTTTCTGCAAATTTTTTACTTAATCTCTGCTAAATTGATGGGCAACGAATCGCTCATCATCCATGATGCAAATTTTGTACCCGGAAAGTTCTAAATCGTCAAGCTTTCTAACTTGTGGGGCGGTTGGAGGCCTTCAAGAATATCCTGCTCAAAAACATTGCTCCATCTTAATATCAATTCTTGTATGTTTCCTTTACCCACTAAATTTGATTTCTTTGCTTCGTCCTTGTCTCTCACAAATTCCAATGATCCAATAACTAGTTTCCTTTTCAATTCATTTAACCTTCCCAGCTCATCAATTCTATGACACCTTTCTATATCCAAACTCAAGGAAGTTAGCGTTTGTGGATGAGTCAATCTTGTCATCCCAAGTGGAACTTTCTCATACTCATTTGATCAAATTTTCCATTTCCGTAGGAAACGTTCTAAGTCTATATGCGCTTGACATTCTTAACATTTGAATATTATAGAGCTTGCCAATAGATTTGGGGAGTTCTCTTATTTTTGTCCTGGAAATGCTGAGATACCTCAAGTATTTCAACTTTCCAAATGGAGCTGGGCAACTCCTCTTTTTCAGCCTTGAATAAATTGGTGCATCTTGCATTTGGAATTGCCATCCTTATCTTCTCCAGCATCTTGAAATAAAGAGTTTTGCAATAGAATGTTAAAATATTCATTACCTATATCCTCCATACTCATGTTGGGAGAAGAATGGAGAAATCCTTGAGCCATCTAGAGTTGGCCCAAGTCATCTTTTTCAATTTCAAAACCTTTTTTCAACATTGAACAATATGCAAACCATTGCTTCAGTGATGACAATGTTAAATTATCAAAACTCAATTTCAAGATTGACATGATTTTATCCTCTTCTTCTGGTACCTCCCATATTTTACTTTTTTAGAATTGACGACCATTCATGTCTACTATTTTTAGAACGCATCACACTTCAACTTTCCTAACGGGGTCAACTTCAAAATCCGACACCATAATCCATAAACCTTAGATTTAAATTTAACCATCAATTGTCCTTTACGCTTTATTCTACTCATCGAAAGTCATTTTTTTAGATTTTCATTATTTATTGATTTAAAATATATTTTCTTTAACAGGTAATGGGTCGGGTCATATTACCTAATTCAGGGGTCAATTTCGGGTCTGGTCATATTACTCGCTTACTTTAATGGGTGTTACATGACACAACCTATTAAGACATTGGGTATTTCACGAAAACGACACAAACACAAAAAAAAGACACGAATGCCAAGTTTAATATTCATATATTCCAATTCCATAGCCTCTGAGGCCTCCCACAAACTGACGAACATCCATTATTATTGATTTCGTCTACTGCTTCACTACACCATCAACATAAATCTTTTTAAGAGAAAATTATATTATTTCTATACTAAAACCCAAACTCGGGTGCACTGGTCACAAGCGATGTGCGGACAAAAATGCCACTCAAATTGGTCTTCCCCATGTTTTTTTCTACTTTTTCACAGCAAAATGGCAATTTCGCCCTCGCTGGCCATTCCTATTTGATTTCTCTGCTGTTTCATTCTCTGCCTTTCATTTTGCCTCTTTCTCGCCATTTTCTGCAATTGCTTCTTTTTTTTCTGCCCCACGTGTACATTTCTTGGTGATTGCAGAAAGTAAAGCGGTTGAAAGGCGAGGAAAGCAATGAAAAAAGCCCATTTGCTTCCATTCGCTGATCTCAGAAGGGGCATCCCCTCCATTCACCGGTCTCAAGTT